TAGACAATCAAAATAAAGTGCTAATTAAGTGCTCACTAGATAAATAATAGTAAACCTAGATTCCATAATGCCTATGGGGCATTATGGAAAACCACTATGACTGATGGACTGAGTTCTCACAGTACGTTCCTCGATAAGTAAGGGAATGAGAATGAAGTGCTAATTAGGCGCTCATTAGATATTCATAGTGAATCTAGATTCCATAATTCATATGGGACTTATGGACCCGGTAACCACCATGGACCAGATAACCACTATTAAAAAAAAACCCTACGAACGATAACCCTCAGAAATCGAAACTTGTGCGAGCTAAGAACTAACGAGGTCTCACCTTTTAACGAGTGATTCCTAACATAGGTTGGACGATAGCAAGTGAAAATTTAGGCGTTCAGCCTGGGGCTTGAACCATCGATTCACACATCGGTCGATTGACTGAGTGAACAAAGCATCCACGTCGAACCGCCCGCCTTGCAAGCACCTAATTAGCACTTTATTACCACGCTTAGTTTATACCTGATGAAGCATTCGTCCTCGTTTTCGAAAGACCTGATTCTTAGATCTGTTGTTTAACGAAATTGGAAGCTTTTGTTTAATAATTAGAAAATTTTACGATCCTCACCTTTTAGCACTAAATAAGCACCTAATAGTGTTTACATTCATTATTCAATTATTATTTTCATTGCGTTGCTAGCATCACATAATGCTAGCAAAGCAACTTTGAGTATTGAGTTGCGGTGTAAGTTACAGAGCACCTAATTTTTGACTTCGGTACCTAAAAAGTACCTAATTTTGGCTTTTTCTAAATGCGATTTCCGTACTTTGCGTTGCTAGCGTAACAGAGCTAATTATGTCAGGTCAGACAATTTCGTTTTCTGCTTCGCTAAGTTTGTTGGGGATTAAAATGGACACCAATATGTTTTGGCACAATCATGTCGTTGAAATTGCAAAGGCTGCTTCTCGAAAGCTTGGAACACTGTTCCGAACCAGAAAACTGGACACATCTCAACTACTTTTGATGCTTTATCAAGTTCAGACCAGACCTTCTTCGGAGTATTGTTCTCATGTATGGAACTCTGCCTCAAACATACCCTGAAGATGCTGGATTCCATTCAGAAATGAGCCATCCGCCTGATTGGAGACGCGACATCACGTGCAACCTTGATAGCCTGGAACATCGAAGATTTGTCTCCTTCTAAAGATACTTTCAAGGAAAGTGATGCCACCAAGAGCGGTACATATCAGAAATACATAACGGACTGTGGCTGCTCATCGTTCTGAGGTTCACCTTAGTACACGTCTAACTTCACTGTTTGAGAACTCTTTCATCTGGAGAGCTGCGTTCATGTGGAATAAACTTCCAGACAACTTTTTTCCGAATGAATTTAATTTCCATCGATTCAAATCAATGTGGATCGCTACTTTCGCACAGGCACCGCTCTGAGAGCGCCTTGAGGATGTTCCTGTAGTGCTTGTGTTTTGTCCTTAAAAAAAGATATGGCCAGATATGATAAGAGTAAAGGGTTCACCTCACATTTTCACTAGCTTCATCCACTTATTATCAATAGTGTCAAATAAACAGACCTGGGATAAATACCCCGTCATAACTATTGAAATTTCTCTAGACATTTCAAGTTTCAGCTTTATACAAGAATTACCATTTCATTTTAATAATGATTGTTTTCAGATGAATGAAGACGGTTCTTTGAATATGGAAGTAATTGAAGTATTGTGTCCTCCAAAACTGAAACGAGAAATGGAAGTAGGTCTTCCTCGGTGTCACGCAGAATCTGCAGGTAGGAACCGATGATTCACTTATCTTTTATTGTTGAGCGAATCAAATTGCAGGTTTTTAAAATACATCTATCTTCAAAACGATTATACCAAGTATTAGCTCGTATATATCTATCCAATTTTTTACACCACGATTGTATATATCATAAGATTATATAATAATCAAAAATGGTAATAACTCATTTTAACGAAATACTGACGGTTTCCGGGATATTGAAAAAATATATTTTTTAACCTTTACCATCGTTCCATTTAGAGTTATTCGGAATTTTTTTAGCATTTATTTTCCTGGGCAAAATAGCTGAAATAAAAAATTCAACCTGCTGCAATTTTATCAGCAGCAGATGTGATGTAATGTACAGCTTGGCAGAGAAATATTTTAGATAATTAGGAATACAAACTATTTTACTATATTTGGTGTATTTTCAGGCATAAGACCTCTGTATGAGAGAACATACCAAATAACGAAATGTTTTTATGAAAGGTATCCCGATGTGAGTATCAGAATAACTTTTGAAATACAAATTCATTCATCACTTATTTTACAGCATTTCTTTGTGCTTTGAGGCGCAACATTTCACCACTGAGTCTCCATAGTTCCGCCGGCAGAAAGCAACTATGAACTTTACTATATAGTTTTCAATTTGTGTGTTTGTGCATGCTAATTAATTTATGATAAAATAAATACACATTTGAAATATTACTATGTACTGTACTGTATTTTCATAATCCACAACATAATTGTTTGTTGGAACTAACTGGAATAGTTGATATCATACGACCCCATCTCTCTTAATAGGTACATTGTCATAATACATGATTTTAAAAAAAAGTGATTGGATACCACCTAATTGAAAAAAAATACTCTGATTATTTGCTTAAAACGCTAAAATGATGAAAAAATTGAAGGCTAGACCACCAAAATAGAGTTTTACAACGTTTATATCCTCTAAACCGATAAAGTGGTAAAAAAAATAAAGCCAAGGCAACAAAAAAAAAGTTTAAAAGGGAAAAAAGGGAAAGCAAAAAAACAACAACCTGGGGGAATTATTCTTGAATTGTACGTGACTCTCTGAGACAACTCAAATGAATATGTAAATCAAATAAAACTCGCAAATACAATGAACAGATACAAGAGACCAAAATGAAAAATGAATTGCTGCACTTCACTGATTCACATAACCTCACGAAAATGAGACAAAAATCTTTCATTCAAAACTCCACCTGAATATGATATTCAGAAATCTTAATATCCCAATCGAAACTCATTGGTATAATAAGACACTTTTAATTCGAATCGAAACAGTATTCTGAATAAGTAGTATCAATTTCATTGTAATCGAAAAAAATATGGGACGTGCAGTTAAAACATATCTTGGGTACCGGCTCTACGATCTCATGTTGGGACACGATAAATTGTAACAATGAAATCCTGTTGAGGAGAACAAAGTCCGGGCTGGTAGCTCGTGGTCAAATGGCATCTGAAGAACCAAACGTTTTGTCTGGTTCTGCAGCCGTAAAGCCTATGTTCTCATATGAAATCCTATTGTTAAAAAAATGCACGTACTCTGTTCATATATTCGAAATTCGAACATTGTGTCTTTAATAATTGTACTTTCAAACAAATGTTCTCATCATTTAGGTAATGAAATTGATTTAATTTGAGAATCGATATTTTGTTCTTATATCGATTCATACAGCTGAGAACATTTCAGGAAATAATCTTTACGAATATCACTCGAATTATAAATTGTCTCACATAAATATCCTTTTTTTTTAATATTACTGGAGTTTTTTCCTAACACCAAACCGTTATTTTAACACCTCGACACGTGTTTCGATCACCAAGTGATCATCTTCAAGAGGAAGATCAGTTTCTTCTCAACATTTCTTGATGTTCCATCTACATCAACCTATATAGTAAGAACAAAATCCGATTTTTCATTAGATTCTGCTGAATTAACATTTACGAAAGTAGATTATAATTCGGATTTGGATAGTGATAGTTCTTAAGAACAAGACATAGATCATTTTATAATTGATATGTCAATTTTGTAGGCATTCACCTTTCTGTCGATGAAGATCCTTATCCCTTAGACACATTTTTATTCAAAAATACTATTTTGATCCCTGAAATAGTGCGTCAACTAATTCTAAAAGGACCTTGCCAACCTGGGTTGTTAGATGACTACCAAGATTTCCAGCTTCCAGCTTCCAATGAGCCTTTTTCCTGAGAATAGTACTGCGAACGTGTCACGAGAGGCAGCACATGTGAAACAGTGTTATGTACGTAATATTATTTCATTATTCAAAAATATAAATCTGATATGAAAAATTATTTTGTGCTAGTATAATGCCAACAAAACATTGCTGTTTTGCGAATTGTACGTCGGTTAATCGATATCCGGAAGAAGACGTGTTTTTATACCATTTATAAAACCTCATATTAATGAGGTAAAAAATTACATTGATCATGAAAAAAATCAATAAAATGTTGAAAATGTTTTTCTTCTGCAAATGAAAATGCCTGTTCTTTTACAAATAGACTCATGTGTCTACTCTATGGAAAATTCCACCAATGTTTCAATATGACCTCACATCAAATAATCTTAACTATCCTGGGACCTAGGAGGCCAAGTCCTACCTGACCTCCTGCACACTGAAATGCGCTGGCACCCCGTCGCACATAAAACACACTACTAAAATGTGAATATCTTTCATCAATGCTGGTAATTTTTCTTCGAGAATCTTTCAGTAATTAAATATGTATTTCAACCTGTCTTGAAGAAAATAAGTGTCTAATTGAGTAATCAAGGGTTAAATCCCGAGTTAAATCGATTAAAAAGGGTGCATATCACATAAAATTCCCAATTTTGCTAAACACCTGACTTTGAATATTTAATAAATTGATAAACTCTCGAACTCTCCCAAGAATACGTTTGCTTGAAAATTATGGGATTGCAGGACATTTGGTCTACAGAAATAGCTGTACGAGGGATATGCATGTTCTCAGTTATATTATACCAACAAATGAGATACTTGGGGAATTTGAAACATTGAATATGTGCGAGTTGAAAAAGATAATTTTTCCCTGAAGAAAAATAATACAGATGACAATGGAATTAATCTGAATATAATCAAGTTAACATTTGAAATACTGGGAAATAGGTTTTTGGACTTGATAAATTTATCGTTAACCAGTGGAACATTTCCTGACAGTTGGAAAATTGCCACCATCGTTCCTATTGAAAAAATTACAAACATCTAAAAAACGTATTATAGGTGTTGTCTTTCTGGATTTCAAAAGGGCATTCGAGACGGTCAACACTGAGTTAATTTTAATGAAATTAAATTAAATAAGTATGGACTAGATAATAAAGTATTAAAATGGTTCACAAATTACCTCACATATCGGAAGCAGCTAGTTAAATATAATCAAGTGACATCCAGTACTTTAAATGTAATTTCTGGAGTCCCTCAAGGGTCAGTATTGGGTCCGCTGCTATTTTTGCTGTACATAAATGATATTGTGATACGTGTTAAAAGGTGTTATCTTACACTGTTTGCCGACGACACTATGTTGTGCTGTTCTGGGACAACTAATGAAATCTCAGAATGTTTGAATGATGAACTATTGAATATAAACGAGTGGTTATGTGACAACGGCCTCAAGTTAAATGTTAATAAAACAAAATGTATGTTAATAGGTAGCAAATATCGTTAGAGGCAATTGCAAGATGAACAGCTGTCATTGAATCTTTATATTGATAATGTCATCATTGAAAGGGTAACAACTTTTAAATATCTGGGAGTGGTATTAGAATATATTTTAAGATTGTTTCCATAAAAAGAAAACGATGAGCTAAAAACATTAAAAATTACCTGTCAAAAGTACCTATGAATGACAACAGCGCTCATTTTGAGCACCGATTTAAGTTCAATTCATGCGATTACACAGGCCTTGGCTGGCATTTCTGAAAAAAATTATTTCATCAATGAACATATCAGTGTCAATGAATTTTCATTCACTTTTTGAAGAAACTGTCTGCAAAGGTCCATTCGTGATGAAAAATCCAGAGAAAATGAAGCCTGGAACCGTTGGATGTGGTTGGAATGTAATGAAAAGTCACGGAGAATTTTCCAAAACGAATACGGGAGATATTCAAGTTGTTCCCAATTTTTTCATGTACCTCATCCAGACTCTTCTGCAATTTAATTTAAAACCGCTTTATGGTGCTCTTACAGTTTTTTGGATTGTACTCCTTTCAGACGATTGTCTCGTTCTAAACTCCTGTTTTCGCAGAACAACAATGTGTGAAAATGTTCGTGCACCAGACAAATTTCTATTTAGTAAGCGCTCTTCATCCATCCGATAGACCAATGAAATATGGTTTCAACACCTAATATCCCATTTCATAATAAAGTGCATATGGATGATTTTTTTATACAAAAATGCACATTCAATAGAAGTGACTAGATTTGATGAATCAAAAGAGTAGAATTAACACTCAAAATGCCAGCCACATACTAAAGTCTCATAAGTATTATGACTGAAAAATAAAATCACTGAAATGTTCCAAATATTGAAAATGAAACACAGCTAATTTGAGAAACTTAATATATTGCTCATGGAATATCTGAGTTACACAAATGACATGAAATTTTTACAAATGTTACTGATTACCATTAAACTAACATCTACTTACAACAAAATACTGATTATGATAACACTGAGTATGTATTGAGTATTTCCATAACTATTCATTGATCTGATATGAATTTTTTACTAAAAATCTTAAACCTACTGTCAAATCATCAAGAATCCTTCTGATCCATCAAATTTGAACAGTTTTCAACAGATATGACGTAAAGATATCAATGTTTTGATGTACATTATTTACAATATAAAATTTTATTTTTAGATAGGTACTCAATTAAACTACATTACTTTTGATTTGTGAACGATTGTTTTAGTAACCAATGACTTTATAAAACAATCGTATGAACAAATTAACTACAAACTATTCTTAATTCAAAAAATGTTTTTAAAGCAACATAAGATATGTAATAACTGGTTGGAATATAGTAATTCAAATGCTTCTCAATCAAAGTTTTCAAAATTTCCAACAAAAACAAAGTCAAAATAAAAATATTTTCTAACAATGAGCAATGAAACCATGGCACTTATAAGGAGTATATAAAACAAACTATTTCTAAAAAGTCAATTTGTAAATGGCACATTGTTATCAGCACAGTGCCAACAGATCAGGCGAAAAGTAAGACCGAGAAGAATTTAGAAGACATTTTTCAGCCGCCATTTTTATCTAACACCAGTAAATCATAAAAATTCAAACTCCTTCATAATTGATATATCGATTATAAAATAAAATTTTACCACGAATGATGCATTACTCAATTCAATAACGAAATTCCAAGGCAGGATTTTTTTCCTTCTTAGAGTCATGGCATTGTTAATATTTGTTTGAATTATAAAAACTTCTCAAGAATGTATATGTTCTTAGATCTTGAAAAAATACGTTTAGAATAGTGTATGGCCGTTGGCAAAAATTTGCATTATATCAAGGGATTCCATTGGGATATCTCTGAAGGGTAACTTATAATTGAACGAAACTTTTAAAAGTTCAATACAATAACTCTATAACCCTACTATTGAATAGCTTCCAATTTAACTGTATTCTGATACATTGTTCTTCATGGAAATTTGGCCTATGTATAAATTACACCTCGCATAATGAAAAATCTCCTAAAATGAACTCAGTTTAATATTTTCAAGGATACAATCCGGATTTCTAAAACATTTCAAGGACAAACTACCTCTTAAACACATCCCAAATGAATTAGACCTTCATACATTGTTTCAGTTTATTCTAAATGTCTGTATTGAAAGTGAACATGACTCAAAATTTTTAATGAATTACCGTAAATTCGGATATTCATGAACAGTTTCTTTCAAGTATAAAATATTCTTGTTCTCAAAGAAATCAGATCTTTGTACATTGTTTCAGTCTATTCAAAATGTGTGGTTTTTAAAGACATATAATCTGAATTTTTCAAAACCTAGTTCAAGTATGAACTACTCCTCAGACCGCTCCCAAAAAATTTATCTGTTGATATATTGTTTCACGGTCTGCTCAAGGTAGGAATAAACTGCCGTTAACACGCTATTAAGAGAGTCATTTTATGGCGTATTGCTCTTTAGTCAAATCTAAGTGTATTTGCTCAAAATCTACTTGGAAAAAAATTCGTGAAATATTTTCATAACTTAAACAAATATTAACCATATCACGATTCGACTTGGAATAAATCATTCCTTGGCATTTCTTAACTCAACTAAGTTATCCATGAGTGTAATTTCATCCTAAATTAAATATTGAAGTTTTGAATTATAATTCTCTATGTCCTGATGTTTTTGATAGCTATTTTATAACGACCGATGAAAAATAACTGCTAATTTCACACTGGTAGAGGTAAGTCATATTCGTGGGTATCGAGTTGACACACATACATACAACAAAAATGGGACCAAATAAGTAATCTAGGTACATTATTGATCATTCAATCCAAACAAACATCATCGCCTAATATACACATGAGAGTTGAAGAATTTTACTAGATAAAATTCACCAGAAACAATATTACAAAAGCCTTAGTTACAACTCAACTAAAATAATCATGAAAATGAAATGTATGATGTAATTCCAGATAATAGAATGTATCACTAGATTCTGAAGAATGTGAATATGAAATTTCCCTCGTGAATAAATATATCAATTTCCTATGGGTTCCGAAAATTCCACAACACCCATTCTCCCTTAATAAAAAATCACAACTTCTCCTCAAAGTGCAATATGTTGTTGTGCTAAGGCTGTGTCAAAGTTCTAAGAGCTTCGTTAAATACAGACTTAAAATATTATCATACAGTGTGTGTCACATCAAGCTTAATTCAGAAGTTTGAAATTAAAGAGTGAAATGTTTTGAATAAAAGTTTAAGATATCAATGCAATAAAATATTCGTCGATATAGGGTACTCCACAGAAGCGTACTCGGTAAGAGAACAGCATATAAAGTTGGGTTATGAAGTATATTGCTTTCCATATACGGATTCCTTTGGAAAATTACAAATTAAGGCAGAAATAATGTCGAAAAATGGATCTATTCAACTGTTGGCGTTTTCATTGAAGAGTTATTTTTGTTATGGAGATGTTTTGAAAATGAGGTTTTCTTATTATTAATTCGACTAGAAACTTTTTTCCATTACAAGGTGAATCAAAAGTCGAAAACAAGATTTTTTTTTCTTGATTCGTTTGATTTCTTCGTGAAAAACTCTTTCTGAAAATATAGTTCTATGTTTCAACATACTGGAAATTCAATGTTGAAAAAACATGTTTCCACCTTTTTTTTTGAGGAAACATTATTTTATAGATAACCTGGTCAATCCTGAATAAACCTAGTTGCAAAATTCCAACTTTAACTCGATATTTTGTTGAATTCAGAGTTTGAACTTGGTATTAATTTTTTTTACAAATATGTTGCCCTACCCCTTTCCAAGTTTTCAATAATTTTTATGTTTTTTTTCAAGTTCAATAACAGTCATGTTCTCAAGATTAGTCTCCTGAACAACCTGTCATAAAAAAACGGTCTTTTCATATTCCTGAGAGGATGACCAGAAGATCTATCAATTTGTCTAGAATTTATTTCAGTCTGAAATTTTGTTTTGAAAGTTTTTGATGGAGAAGTTCAATTTTGAAAATAATATATATTTCAAATCTATTTTCGTTATAACTTTCGAACCGCTAGGTATTTACCTACACAACCCCATATGTTTACACAGAGCCTTTCAATGAGAAATTGTATCTTGAATAAAATAATGAATGTTCTGTAAAAATATCTCTTCACTATTAGTCACTGATATCATCATAAAGACAGTATGAAAAGACATTTGAGAATTAATTAAATTACTATGCAAGTGATACAAATATTAAAAAATAACTGAGTGTTAGGAAAATGTGTTCTAACATATTTTTAACAATTATTGAGCATTTAAAAAATCTAGCATATAGAGTTTTTTGTATTTTTTGATTAATGGGTTCTAAATACTAGATATGAAGGAAAAATGTATACATTAGAATTGTGATATTGAAATAATTTCAATTTTGTACATAGCTACCTAAGTTGCATTGTTGAAATGTTGTAAGTCAGTCCCCATCCCAAATCAAAGTCCTGAGTATGCCCTGGATATGTTCACTATGGTTGACAATTGTATCACTAATACTATACAGAAATAATTCAAAAAATCAGCATTTGACACAAAAAAACATGTGCCCAGTCTTCCATTAGTTGTCACATACAGACAATCTCTTTCAACTATTTCAAAATAAAATTCTTCTTCAACAAAAATTCAACTGAGACAATATATGAAATTAAAAAGAAAAATCATTTTTCAAAATTCCACTGGACCCAATATTCTGAAATCTGTCACTATATATTAACTGTTCTGGCAACTAGGAATTCCTTTTAAATTGGTCAGTTTCTGAAATGGTCTTCCTAGTATACCAAATACCTAACTATTTTTCCATTGTAGTATAGTCTTGTCGAATTAATCTCAAGAAAATCACACACCAAAACATTAAAATATTTTCCTAAATACGCGGTTCATCAACTGAGTACAACCTAATCAAAATTAAAGTCTAAGAATAATTCTCAGTTCTGAAGAGAAACGCAAAGTCATGAAAATATTTAAAATATAACTTGCTTGCCATTCCTAGAACCAAAAACTAAATTATTCAAACCCAGAAACTTACTGGACGTTGATACATTGTTCAAAACAAAAATAAGTATTTGACAAGACATAAATACAGACGTTATAGTCAATCCTGATTGTCATGAACACTCAACAAGAGAATCAAAACTTTTAAAAACTATCCAAATACATAGTAGAGTTGGTTAAAATTCATTATGGAATAACAATTTACAATAATTTGCCCGAATACATGAAGAACATCAATTCTGCTATTAAATTCAAGAAAACTGTTACAAAGTATTTTTTATCTGTTGAAGATAATGGTTAATTCCATGAACACAAAAACCTTTGAATTTCACCTGGTTCTACTTAGTATTAATTAACTTATTATTTTTTTATTCATATTGAATCATAATAGTTATTGTATTTCATTCCTTCTATAAACATGTATTTTTTGGAATTATTTAAATTTTTATTGAATCACCGTAATTTTCATCCAATTCATATTGAGAAGATTTGATAAGATGAAAACCTGTGAAGCATTATAACTTTGAGGAAAGAAGTGCATTTTTATGAAGGACACAAATACTAAATCATTCTTGACGTTAGTTTTCGGAGTTATCATCTGGAATACATCATAGGTTTTACAATTATCCCCATAGATTCTTCGATGTATAACTTACATGAAGCTGCAATTAGGCAAGATTTCGATCTAGATGTGCCCGTCAAGATAAAATTTTCAAATAAAAATTAAAAACACGAAACGTAAAGTTAATTCGATAGGCCACTACCAACTCACATTCTCTTCCAGTCTGATTCTTGATATATTATCTTCAACAGAGTCTTACACACATATTTCCATATCGTCCAAATTTATGATTGTGTCTGTAGAGGCTAATTTGAGAAGAGTTTTCTTTATTCGAAGGGCAGGAAGACGAACATTGGAATTTTGATGCCAGCATTCTCTCATTAGCTTCCCCATTCCAGAGAGCAACTGATAAAAAAAAAGAGAAATTAATAAAATACATGAGAATGAAATGTTTGGCATTTATTTTCCAATTTATTTACTTTTAGGTGAATTTAATGTTCAATACGAGAATAA